ACTGGCCTCATTTCTCTCTTCTGCGTTGCGACACACTGTCACCCCCACCCCGCCCACACCGTACAGACTCCTAATTGCGAGCGCAGATACACGCCCACTTTGAAAATCTGCCAGCCGCTTGTTCCCGCCCCTTCCTCTGCTCACCTGTCTGTCAGACATGACGTAGAGGAAGCTGCCATCCAGGGAGAAGGCCATGTCGCGGAGGATGGCGCTCCCATCCTGCATGACCAGCACCGTCTCGTACTGGACCCCGCCGTGTGGGGGGCCGTCCACCCGGATCTGTAAGGCAGAGACAGGAAAGACTGTTAAACCTCTTCAGCCCTGTCCACAACACATATCCTATACAGTGGCATATACAGGCATAGGGCCACAGCTGACAGTTAAAGTTGATTGGTCCGCTCCCCTGTCAGTCACCAATTTCATGCGTGTCATTGGCTAAGAATATGGTTGGCCCCTCTCTATGAATTCTGGCCCCTCTTATGCCCCAAACCATAAAAAAAATCCTACAATGCCCCAGCTAACCCCAAGCCTTTGTCCCTGCCACCCACAACAAACAGACCCCCTCCCCCACGTTTAAAAGCAAAAGAGATGGTCTTCCAGCAACAGTAAGCAGAATCCAGGCTAAGCTGTGGGCAGATGTTAGCTAACCTCCACATACCAGCAGGGGGTGTCAGTGAGCAAAGCAGAACCTTTGCTCAGGATGTGGCCCGGTGGCCGGGATGCGACTCCTCCCTGACAACGTCGCCCACACAATGCCACCACAGCTCACTCCGCCATCGTGACCTACAGCAGCTGTTCAGGCCCGGCCCGTTCCCCACGTCCATGCCAGGGGGGCAGCATGGGGGCTGCGTGTGGGTGTAGGGGCGCAGGACGGAGCCCAGGCTCCGACACCCCTCAGATCCACACCCCCTCATCTGCCAGAAGCTTACAAAGCTGGCCCATGTCCCAGGGTGGGGGTCAAGTGACGGTCATGCATCTGTCTACGGCGACACAGAGCTCAGGGCTTCCCTAGGAAGAATAAGCAAGCACCCCCCCCCCCAAAACACACCACAGAGGGCGGAGCTTAATCAGACTTGGGGGTGGGGTAGACGCCCTGACCGCTGCAGTCTGACTTATCCACAGGCAGCACACGTGTGTGAAAGCACACCTGGAGTCACATGAGAGTCCCTGGGGGTGTGTGACTGTTTCATCTGCTTAGCGGCCCTGTGTGATCTGCTTTGAATCCCCCCCCAGTGATGATATTCACACTGGACAAAGATCTGAGAGGGTGCTGCACTATGAAAAGGCACCACTAAACTGATTCAGATATAAATCTGAAATATAAACTGCCCGGGGTCCCCAAACGCTCACACACACACACACACACACACACACTCACACTCGCCTGCGTCCCTGGAAACAGAAGCCTGACTTACTTCCCAGTCTCTGCATCTCAATCTCGAGCATCTGTGACCCTGCCCCCCCCCATACAGCTAGAGGACCCCCCTCCCGATTCCCCCTTTGCCCTGTTGTCTTTGGCAATGACCCATATGAAGGTTAAAAGAGCCCCTTTAACCCCCCACGTCCCCAGTAACATGATACGATTAAAGAATATCCCCCCCCCTCCCTGCTCATTCGGGTTAATTTATTCCTTCACCGAGACACACGGAGATAAAAACGAATTGCTCCCATCCTGTTCCCTCCGATCCCCCCCCCCCATCCCAGGCATCACGGGGAGATAATGGAAATTGCATTAATGGTGACCCCCGCGACCCATTTCTGGCGCCGACACAGCCGGGTCGGGCAGGGCGGTACAGCCCGGTGAAGCTAAGTGACCTGGGGCAGGGTGCCGCCCCATCCAGGGAGAGGCCCTGGTTCTGGGAGGGGCTGGTATAGCGAGCATGCACCTGAGCCCCGCCCTGCTCCCCCCATGGCCGCAGGGAAGGGCCTGACCATGCCGCGCTTGCCATTCGGAATGACGCAGCAATTTCCCCCTGGGGGACAAACGGCACGACCCCCATCCCCGCCCCCCTAGTGCTGAGGCAGCAGGACACAGTTGCGGGCTGACGCTTATTCATGTGGGACTTGGGGTTTTTAACGTTGACCTCAGCATTGCCTGCGGCACAAGGGGAGGCAGTTTGAGTGCCGATGGTGGGGGGGGGGGGGCAAGGTTCAGATTCCCCTGGGGACAGGCTGAAGGATGGTCTGGGCTTGATGACAGAACATGCAGCGTGTCTCATCCTGCTACAGCGCCCCCGCTGCCTTGATACATGCTCAGCGGGGAGGCTTCTGCACCTGAACACCCCCAGCTTACCCCCAATAGAGCTTATGGTTCCCCCCCACCCTCCAAGACCGATGTGAACCTGAACGCCTAACTGTATAGTGAAATCTGACTTTAAGGATTTTGAAGAAACTGGTCACGCCTTTCCAAGCGAGGCCCCAGAGCACAGGTGTGGAAGCCCATTTGTTGGGAAAGAAAGACACATGGATCTCCGCAGAACGTTCCACTTGGAGGGGCCTCCAACCCCACAAAGACCGTTAATGCTCACGGCTACGATCGGACCTCAATATACCTAACTGTCAACGTGTGTCCCAAGACCAGTTGGTCTGCCGGGAGTTGACGGAGCGTCAAGAATGCATTTTCCCAAAACACAGGACCACGGGGCGTCATCGGAAAGACAAGACCCGCTGCAGCCGGCGTGAGGCACGCCGGACGAGTGAAGACATGCTCTCTGGGTCTGGCAAAGCGCCAGCAAACCGTCGGGAGCGGGCGGCACTACAGAGAGAGCAGAGAATGGTAAGTGAGCATAAGCCAAGACAGAAGGGCCGGGTTCGGGCGTGTCGATCTCGGAGTAGAACAGCTGCAGACTCCTCCCTGCTGGAACTCTGGGTTCCTGATGGAACCTTGGGGCTTGATAACCCGCCGCGGCACGATGCTCTTGGCACCAAGCAGTGGGCGAGGTTCCGGTTTGATGCAGCTGGGCGTAACTTGGCCGGTAACAACGATCCCGGGTTGGGCGTTGGAACGTTTGACGGAGGATCCCAGACGACGGCGACTTCACGGAGTTTGCAGTGTGAAGAACGGTCAACGCAGCTAACGGATCAGGTCATTAGGGAGAACCGTGATGAGAATAAGGGCCCTTCTGCTGTGCTCCCCCCTCCCCACCACCTCACCTCCCACCCATAACTAACACTGGCTGCCAATCAACTTCCACATGAGCAGAGCAGCATCAGTAAATTTGATGTGCTTGTATTTATTTGTTTGGAAAGGGGTGTGGATCCAAACCCTTTATCTTCCCCCCCATCCCTTGAGCAGCACTCCTCCTCAGTCGCACGCCTCCCTGCACAGCGCCTCCTGCCAGCCACCTGCCATGTCACCCCCGCCACCTCGCAGTCGGGCGCTTGCAAGAAACGGGAACCTCCGGGGGGAGCTTAAAAAACCCGCAAAGTAAAGCCGCTCTCACCCCCGGGATCGGGCCGCTCTCCATCCCACCCGTGTTTGTGCTACACTGGCGCTGGCGTCTGCCATTAACAGCCGAATCATCACACACCACTGCCGCCTAAAATCCGATACGGCACCCCCACCCCCCACCCACCCTCACTATGGCTGCCATTCGTTCCCCATCTAGTGGACCCTGGTTTGCATGCATAATGTGATCGTCCAATAGGAAAGCGACACCTCTAAGTAACCATATGAATTGGGGGTGATCCTCCCCATTTAATTTATGGACAATCTCATGCTCCAGTGGCTGAGCTTCCCAAATGCACCGATGTGTTTGCTTAATCCCCCCCCTCTCTGTCTCCCCATGGTACCATCCCTGCACCCCCCCCTCCCCCCCCCCCCCCCCCCCCCCCCCCCCCCCCCCCCCCCCCCCCCCCCCCCCCCGACACCACACAAAAAAAAAAAAAAAAAAAAAGAAAGGCGAGGTGAGGGGGGGGGGGGGGGGGGGGGGGGGGTGGATTGCGGGGGCATGGTGAGACTCAAGCCCACGCCAGCTGCATCTACGGCAGCCCGTTAATTACCGCCATGCATCACGGCAGACAGAGCGCGTCCCCTGGGGGGGCTGCCCCGCATCCGTCTTTCCGCAGGATCAGCAACAAGCTTATGCATACCAGCCAATCACGTCGCGCTGGGGGCGGGCCGTGTCCCACTCTACACCAACCCCCTCCCTTGCAGTTCGTCGGCAAGGATAACCTACTGTGGGGGGGACACCCACTACGCGGACACCCACCAAAGGCGTACGGTGGGCCGCAAGCGACTGGCGCCAAGCGCAGTAGCGGGAAGGGGGCGGCATGCCAAGCATCATCCCGGGGAAATCGCTCCGGGAAAACAAGCTTTGTTTCAGAACAAATAAATAACTCCCTCAGGCGACCGCTGGATGTCAATAGCAAAGTACTCTGTGGTCTGCACTCTACTCACTCCACTCCATCTCTCCATTTCCTCCCCCTCTCCCTCGCTCTCTCACTGTCCGGCTCTCACCCGCTTCCCCGCGCCAGTAAAAACTGACAGAAGTTCCCACAGAACCCGCACGCTGCGGCGTCAGCTGTTTTTAACGCGCACTCTTCCTCTCCAGAAGCCGGAGCCCGGATTAAGAGCGGTGATGATATCAGACCAGGAATAACCCTGATTTCCCGAAACATTAACACACATCTGAGCACCGCAACAGACCAGCTATATTTAAGCATAAACACCAGAAAGGAAGCCAGGGAGGAAATGTAGTGTCAGTCCCGTACTGTCAAAATCTGCACTTAACAACCACTGGCTAAAGATTATCCTTAACTATCTTTTAACCCAGTCCCTGGGGATCCCCAGAGACTCCACATTTTTGCTCCCTCCTGGCTCACAGCACACGTGAATCACAGAACCAACCAATCAAGAAAGCCGAATACTTGACGCAGGTGTGACGGGAGCTAGGAGGGAGCAAAAATGTGAACTGTCCGGGGGTCCCTGAAGCACAGTTTTAAGGGGATGCAGAGTTAGTGGGCCCCGGTGAAACCGACTGTACCGTCCTGACTTGGCCCCCGTCTCCCTATCCCACACACACACCTCTGCTGATCAAGTCAATAAGGAAACCAGTTCTTATATCCATCCACACATCATCCAAAACCATATATTCAGTATCGTAAGCCTGGACAGGGGACATTCTGCACGCAATGTATGAAATGTAAGTCCATTGCAACACACACAATTATACACCACGGACAATGTAGGCTCCGAATCAGCTATGATCCATGATTTTGGGCATTAGAGGGAAATGGGTTTGCCAGGAGGAAAACAGACATGCACACCTAGATACAGG